AAAGGGAAGCCTTACTCAAAATGTATAAGGAACAAGAGGCTGGAAATACAGTAACATTGTCAAATTAAACTCCAGCAAAGTTAATGAGGAACTCAAAGATAGTGCAGTTTCCAATAAAATAAAGATATTGAGAAAATCAGAGGATATGATGCATTCCATGATAGTACCAGTATGGATACATCATGAAAGTAACATACGTAAAAAGGTATTGGTTTATGCATTATTGGATGAACAGTCAGATGCATGTTTTATTAAAGAATCCACCATGAATGAGCTAAACATTCTAGGCTCCAAGGTACACCTAAAGTTAACAACAGTGACAGGCGAAGAAACAATTGAAAGTACAAAGACTAGAGGACTAATAGTATGTGGTAAAAATGAAAAGATAGAGATTGCACTTCCAGTCACTTACTCAAGGAAGAATATACCAGCCAGACATGATCAAATTCCAAGGCCAGAAAGTGTAGAAGGGTGGCCTCATTTACAGAGAGTAGCAAACGAATTGATGCCATACGATAGAAGTGTTGAAGTTGGGCTCCTGATTGGCTTAAATTGTATCCGTGCCATCAAACCAAGAGAGTTAATTCCTGGGAAAGATGACGAGCCTTATGCAAGGAGAACTTTGCTTGGTTGGAGTATAATAGGGAGAGTCAATGGTGATTATCAAGACACAAGTGACTCAGATTCAGTTCTAGCTAGCAAAGTAATAGTCAATAAGGTTATCATTAATGGTGACACAAAATGTAGCTTTCTTTCCTCACCAACTAAAGTAAAGGAAATAATTGATTTTGCACAAGTTCGAAAATTGTTTGAGCTTGATTTCAGTGAAAGGGAGACAGGAAATGTTCCTTTTTCGTATCAAGACAAGATTTTCTTAAGAAAAATGAAAGATGGAATTCATCAACTAAAAGATGGGCATTATGAATTGCCACTCCCTCTTAAAGATGATAAGGTCAAGTTTCCAAATAGTAAAGAATTAGCAATGTGTAGGTTGATGAGTCTAAAGAGGAAGCTAAAGCAAAAGAATGGTTTTCTACAGGACTATGTTGCCTTCATGAAAGATCTCATAGACAAAGGCTATGCAGAAGAGGCACCATACCAGGGTCCAAATTTCAATGATGGAAGAGTATGGTATATACCACATCATGGTGTGTATCATCCAAAGAAACCTGACAAAATTAGGGTAGTATTCGATTGCAGTGCTGTGTATAAGAATGAATCACTTAATAAGAATCTTTTACAAGGTCCGGATCTGACAAATAACTTGATTGGCGTATTGTGCAGATTCAGAAAGGAACATGTAGCAATTGCATGTGATATAGAAGCAATATTCCACCAAGTAAAGGTAAAGCCTGATCACAGAGACCTACTACGCTTTCTGTGGTGGGAAAATGGAAATCCTGATTCAACTGTCAAAGAATATAGAATGACAGTGCACTTATTTGGGGCTACATCTTCTCCAAGTGTAGTAAGTTTTGCACTGAAAGCCACTGCTGATGATTATGCATGGCAATGTGGTACAGAAGCTGCCTCCTTTGTTAAAAATGAATTTTATGTAGATGATGGGTTAACATCTTTACCTACAACTGCAGAAGCCATAGCTTTAATCAGGAATAGTAAAGCATTATGTTCGAAGGGTGGCTTCAAATTGCACAAGTTCTTGTCAAATAAGAAAGAAGTTCTAGAAGCAATAAGTTTAGAGGAAAAGGCTAAAAGTTTTAAGAACTTAGATCTCTCTAGTGAAGCCTTACCAATAGAGAGAACTTTAGGAGTAGAATGGTGTATAGAATCAGATACATTCCAGTTCAGAATTAGTATTAATGACAAACCAATAACTAGAAGAGGTATATTGTCAACGGTGAGTTCTGTTTTCGATCCAATGGGTATGGTCTCACCCTTTATATTGATTGGTAAAAGAATACTTCAAACCTTGTGTCAAGATGGAGTAGACTGGGATGATGACATATCAGATAATTTGAAACAACAATGGAGAAGATGGAGAGATGATCTGATTCAGTTGAAAGAGTTAAAGATTCCTAGATGCTACAAGCCTGATGTGTTTAGAAAGGTCAAATCATTGGAACTGCATCATTTCTCTGATGCTAGTCAGCATGGTTATGGACAGTGCTCTTATTTAAGGCAAGTAAGTGAGCAGGGACAAGTTCATTGTGCACTTGTCATGTCAAAGTCTAGAGTGACACCATTGAAGCCCATAACTGTTCCTAGGTTAGAACTAACAGCTGCAGTCGTAGCTGTTCGAATTAGCTCTATGTTAAGGAAGGAGTTAGGTTATCAGGAAGTAAAGGAATACTTTTGGACCGATAGCAAAGTCATACTTGGCTACATTTCAAATGAAGCTAAGAGATTCCATGTGTTTGTTGCTAACCGAGTGCAGCATATTAAAGACCACTCCTCTATGGAACAATGGAAATTTGTTGAGTCAGTTCAAATCCTGTTGATTCCACTTCACGTTGATCCTGTATGTAAAGAACCTGATTGA